GAACAACCAGTTCTTTGTGTGGATGCCACTTCCGGAAGTCCATTCTGGGCCTGGGCAACAAAAAATTAGCTACCGGTTCTGCCGAAGTGGTGCGAACTGGCTAAATCCCACCACTGGCTAGAAGACAAATAGTATCAACATGCAATTACATGTAGCAGATATATATTAAATGATGCTCCATATAAGAAGGATTTAAAAAAAAAAGTTTTGAGTCTGAGAAACTGGTGTGATTCAAATGAGTTGTTTACTTCTGGAATTAGCAGAGGAAAAACTTAATTTCACAGCTTTATTTCATCTACAAAACTCTTAATCTTAACTCCCCCCTGAACCTAAAACTTTTAACAGAATGGGATCAGGACTAAGACAATAATCTTAACATTCATGAAGTCCACTAAAAACAGATCTTTTACTGTGCCCAAAAGATTTCAAGGATTAATTTTATGTTCTTCTTTGGTAAAACAGGGCCTGCTATAGACATGTTGGCGCCCTAGGCAAAGTCATATTCTGGCATCCCCTGTGGTTTGGCTCATCTTCCAATTTTATTAGGAATTTTAAAAAGGCACCCTCTTGTTTCTTTTTTCTTTGAGTTTTTGAGTTTTCCACATATTATTTGCAGCCATGGAATGTGTGTGTGTGTGTGTGTTTTCTGGAACATTTTCACCTATTTACTGTATTTATCCTGTACATAGTAAATGATTTTAATTATATCATCACCCATTGTTATGTGAGCTGGCACACAGGTCTGCAAAGTTCACTGTTATCACTTTTTCAAGTATAACTTTGATAAGCTGACAGTCACAACTGACTCACTTAGTACCTTAGTATCAGACCTGTGTCTTGGTTCAGTAGTATAGGTTTCTGAGGTCCATAGCTGTAATAATAATTTGCTTTTTGTGATTTGCAACACATGGTTAGTACACAGAAATCTTGAATCAAACTGAAAACTGGAACTCTGGCCATGTCCTATTGATACACAGGTTTAATCTTGAGCTATTATCCTTTGGGAAACCAACCACCTCTTGTGATCACAATCATGTGGGCAACATAAATTACATAAAGTGGTAGCCTTAGGGGTAAGGAATGCTCATATGCATTCCTGTGCATCAATTCAGATCATGAATACAATTGTCTTGATTTTTTTTTAATTTTGTAGTCCAGATTCCAATTCCTAAAGCAACTATCTACTGACTTATGGCCAATTATTATGCAGATGGGTGTCTATGCTTCTGCGGTCACTTCATCTTGAATAGTAGCTTTGATATCAGACCTCTATTCTCTCACTTTACAAATCAGGAAGTGGTCTATGTTGTGGCCTGGGGCTTTCTGACTGTCATCTTTTAAACACCTATTTATACTTTGGGGCCTCATCTCATTCTGACACAGCAAAGGAGCTGATGCTTCCTGTGTGAAGGTAAAGGTTGAGAATATGTATTAGCATCAGAACATTCTTGTTTCTGATGCTAGCACATATGTAGGCTAATAATCCAGCAGCTGCGATTGTTATCAGGATGTCACACCAAAAACCAGGATCAACAGCACTGCACCTTCCAACCTGATCCATGAGACTAGAAGAGGATTATCATAAAACCAGGTAATGGATGCATGTATGAAATGGGGTGGTTTAAGAAATGATGTCTTAAAGCAATTTTTCAATCTTGCAGATTTTGGGCATCACATCTTGCAACTTCATCCTTCCCTCAAAGTTCTCAAAGAAACAGGATTAAGAATTTGAATGTATTAATTAGAGACTCCACACATGCCATGCAAATCCAAATGAACACTGTGACCATGCTTTATTTGTTTATACATTTGATTGATTTTCTTTTAACATGTCCTGGGTGCTGCAGCAAAGGATAGTACAAATAGTGCTCCACTCCTGACCTTCAACACATCCCTATGAAGGTTTGGTTGAGAAAGGCCACCCAGTGGTCTTACAGGGCTAAGGATGTCCTTGAATCTGAGTCTCCTTAATAGCAGGTCACTATTCTGAATGGCTTTTAAGGGAATTAAGTAAATCCATGGAGAAAAGAGGTATTATCAAGGGAATATTAGTTTTGAATCTATTACTCCTGGGCTGGTGGCAATGTATTCCCAAATGCCACTTGCAGCGGAACAGCAGCAAGAAAGATATATATCTCCACTTCCTGGTTGTGAGCAAACCAGAGACATCTGATACAAAATGCTGAATAAAGGAAGTATTGGGTTGATCCAGAAGGGATATTCTTATGTATTGATGTTCTGGCTGTTTTATTTTAATGTTCTTCCTGTTTTTGTTTTTTGTTTTTGTTTTGTTGAAAATTGTTCTCTCGTGGTTCTTTTTTTATTCTCTATATGCTCTTTGCAACAAACAGCATCTTTGGGGGCAAAAATCCCCAAAGGTTATTTTGACTGGTGAGTTCTGAGGTCAATACAGTGGATTAGGTAGACCTTTTAATCACATTTAGCATATAGTTTTGATATTTGATAAATTTGTTAAATAAATAAATATTCTGAAATTATTTTAATCTTAACATTCATAAAAGAGAATCATCTTCTTCCTAATTCTAAAATCCTGTTATCTATTGCTTTGCTTTCTTATGTATATGTTGTTGATGAAGACGAAGAGACAGCTCTGAAGAAATCTTAGGTTTCAAAAAAAAAAATACTCAACTGCCCAAAGAAAACTGAGTCATGTGCAGAATCCATTCATTTTGAGATTATTCTACTTAAAGAAGAATTCATTTTGAGAAATTTTCCACTTCAAGTGTAAATGTCAGAGTGATTAGAATAACGACTGAAAATGTACCCAGGAAATGAAATACAATGAACATTTGCATAGTCAATGAGTAGCATCTTTTAAGCTGTTCCTGATCAGGAAAAAATGTCTGACAAGGACATTTTATGACATATTTTTGGCTATGAATACATTTTTACACTGCCCAGATCTTGGAGACTGAGAAAGTTTATATATGTGTGTGTGTGGCAAACTCATAAACCTATTTAGAATTTTGAAAACAATTTGCATGCACTTATAAAATGCCTGCCTTTGAAGACTTTGTCCATTTACAAAACGGCCACCATGGTGGCCATGGTCATTCACAAAACAACTCAGCAGTAAGTAAATTGATAAGCATGCTCTCCATCTTCCCTCTAGCCTTCCAAAACTGCTTTCTACAACAAGCTCCTCTTTTGGCTAAGTGTTACCCCATCCATTCTTGATTTCTAAGCAGAAGAATTAGGCTGCAATTACTCAACAATTTTATTTTCCAACCATGCTAATGAGCCCATGTGAAATAATTGCATAGTCCATGTAGTGCCTAGAAACTTTCTTAGAAATAAAGTTGTTCTTGAAGTCTGGTGCTTTGTTTAACAGCACATCAGCCTTCCAATTAGTGCTTATGTTAAAATAATGTTAAAACAAATTAAAAATCAGACACAGCGGGGTGCCTGTTTCTTGGCAGGCACAAATGTATGGTATTTTGATGCCTAGGCGTATCCTGTTAAGGTTTGAAGTTACACCTATGATTTTTAGGAACCTTGTCATTGATATTGTTATATTTTATGCTACTTCCTATATAAATGAATCTCAGATATTATAAAATATAAATGCAAAATGAAAAGGTTTTTTTAAAAAAAAAAAGGCAAGAGAAAGAAACCCTGGGAAATGAAAACAAAGGCTAACAAAAGAAAAACCTTTTATCCCACATTCATGTAAAAGGCCTAGGTGAATGGTAAATCTTAAGAAGAATGTTACAGGAGGTCCATAATGATGTTCACTAGAGAGAACATTCCAGAATACAGCCAACATTACAGAGAATGCCTCAGTGCTATCACTGCAATATGGCATTTTGTGGTTCCAGGCACACCCAGTTGGATGTCTCCTGACAATCTCAGTAATTGAGGTCTATAAGAGCCAGTTTGGTCCAGTGGTTAAGGCATCAGAGTAGAAAGTGGGAGACCATCAGTTCTAGCCCCACCTTAGCCATGAAAGCCAGCTGGGTGACCTTTGACCAGTTGCTCTCTCTCATCCCAACTCATCTCATTATTGTTGTGGGGAAAATAGAAGGAGGAAGGTATGTTGGATATGAGTTATTTGTAAAAATAATAAAGACGGGATACAAATAAATGAATAAGTAAATAAAAATGCCTTATATACCACATATAAAATTATTAACCTGACTAGGTAACTAATTATAGCAATGAACCTGCTTCCATGGATGCACATATACCAGTTCAGTTTCCAAACCAAATACAAAGATAGCCCCATATAAAGCATGTCACAATAATCTAAGCATGAGGTTATTAATGCATGGACAATACAGTAACAGCTTAGCAGTCTTTGTTTAAGAAATATTTTAGCTAAGTTTCTTTGAGGTGTGTCTCACCTCAAAGGTCATTTAGATATCCAATTATATTGTTTACATTCACAGATATCTTCTAACATTTCCAAGACAGAGTGACCCCAATGAAAATAAGCAAGGTTTTCATTTCTATCTACACATTCTCCACCTTGTCAACATTGCTTCAATTAATTGACTTACATTTCCTGCATCATTTCAGTCAGATGCTGATTTAGATATTATAAAAAAATATAGATGAGTAGAGAACCATATTGATGATTCCTTTCCCCACCCTCAGCAGCTTCATAGAGATAAAAAAAAATAGCACTCGGGACAAAATAGTGTTATGGTACACCACGGCATAATTGCCAGAATTCAAAGGCATAAATACTTTTTTATACAATTCCTGCAAGTAGGAGCAAAACTATTATACCACAATAACCCGACCTCCCTACTCATGAAGACAATCCAGTAACTTATTCATGTTGATGTTATCCAAAGTTGTTGAGCTATCAAACAGGTTCACAGAATGGCCTTGCTAATGAAATCAAATTGCAAATCCTGTGCATTTCCAGAGAGTGAATGAATAAATGAAATGGATGAGTGTGTGAATTGAAATATGCACACCTTTGCAGTTGGGATTCATTGAGATTGCTTCTTTTATTTCTCTTAGTCTTCGAAATCTGTGGTTATGGAGACCTGCCTGCTCATTCTGCTCTACATTATTTCATTCTTCCAAGCATCAGGAGACAGGCAGAGTAAGTTTGATTTCTGTACATATTTCAGAATGAATACTAGAGCTATGTCAGTGACAAAAGCTAAGTTAGTAGTATTCAAGTTGTACTCCTGAGATCCCAAATTCCCAATGCAAAATACTACCATAAAATCATTGTATATTGTATACTGCAGGTACAATGGTTCATCTAAGAGATCTTCTAAACCCAGTGCTCAGCCATCTGCAGGTTTTGTAAAGGGATCCCTGAGTAAGGATGCAATCAGTGAGTCCCTTCGCTTTGTTGCTTGATGGTAGTATTTCTATCCATTTGTTTGCCTTGTCTTTATGACTCAAACTTAGAAGAAGGCAGCAAAATGAGTGGAAGCTAATGCTTCTTTCATCTTGTTCTTCTAACTGTTCACTTACAGGGCCCAGCAAAGCAATAGGGTGGTGATATAACTCAGCTAACTAACTAATTATCATGGTGGGTAGTGGGGCCCTTGCTTTGGAAGATGCCAAGATATTGAGCCTCAACTCTTTCTTCTTGTTCAGTGTGATATGAAAGGAAGAGAAGAAAAGGGTTCCAGGGACAGCATGGAAGTGGATGAATTGAATGGACTGATTGGTGGGAGAAGTTTTATCCCACGTTTGTCTTTATAAATAAGCAGAACTATCCCACTGCTTTCTGTCCCAAACTGAATTAGGGAAATATGGTTCAAGTAAGTGAATAGGGATAGGGGAAGCTAATAATTTATATAATGCAAGGAAGGGCAGAAGGAATAGAAGCAGGGTATGAGGTTTCCATGAGAAAAAGCAGACCAAGTACCAGAAGCAATTTATATAATTTGTTATTGAAATCAACATCTCAGAACTGTTTATAAGAAAAACAGTAAAGGGTGACACAGTTGCTCACCCATCATTGGTTAAAAAAAAAGTACCCCCTGATATCATGAAGATTTCTTTCATAACCAAAGGTTTGCCCTATGATTGCCCATATCCATAATATCTTTTCCAATATCCAAATCTGCTCATCCACTAAAAAGAAAAAAAAAGTTAGGGAACAAGTCTTCTTTTGTCCACTCAGCAGAACTGCCTCGCACAGTGAGTTTCACATAACACAGAATGAAATAACACAACAGATTTTCACCTCTGTACTAGCAGAATCTTCAAATCTGGACTGTTTATATGACTCATTTGAGACAGTCATTTGTACCTGGATCCCTGTGAAAAATGCTATGAAAGGGCAATGCCAACTCACTGCTTCAGTCGACTATGGGTAAGTAATCAGGAAAATATATTTAGAAGATAAAAACCAATTTGCCTTGTCCTAGGTCTATTCAAGTCATCCATCAATGGGGAAAAAATCATCTAATCTCTTGTCAAAGAAATATATAGAATATTGGTTTCCAGTGACTTTCACAAAGCCACCGAGCATATTGTCCTCAATACTCTAAGGAAAATCTTGACTCTGAATACTTATGCCCCTGCACCTTAACAATTTGCAATTTCTGTCTTATAAGAATTTTATTAGTGCCTGAGATTCTCAAAATGTGGATAATAACCACTCCAAGAGATCAACATCAATTTTGGGGGTGATAGTAAAACCTTTTCATATGTGTCTCCATTAAAATAGTTAAGCTCAGTTTTTTTAGTATTTTTAATTTTGGGGTAAGTTATTCTTCAATTAAAAGTTTAACAAATTAACTTGTAACACAATTGACAATATTGTAATCTGTAAACAGGGTTTCTCAACCTTGGCAAGTTTAAAATGTGTGGTGTTCCCCATGTTCGCTGAGGAAATCTTGGTATTATTTTACTATTTATTCATTTAGATGAATTAGCTGCCCAACTCCAGTGGATTCTGGGATATGTACAAACTAGAAAAATACACCAAACAGCTGAAAATATAAAATCAGATAGACAGTCCAGACTAAAATAATTTAATAAATGACATAATCAGCAAAACAAAACAGAGACCTTAAACAAATCATCAGCATCAAACCCAGATCTGGTAACAAGACCAGGTTTTCAAAGCTTTCTGAAGCTAAGAGAAGGGTCTAAGACAACTCACCACAATCAACTCACCACAGCCAACTCACCACAACCAACTTGCCATGGCCAACTCATGGAAGGACAACTTGATGCGGGACAATTCAATGCTGTATTATTTCATTCAGTTACTTTTATTATTGGTGACCACATTTTTGTCAAAAGCATTGTATCTCTTGTTTTCTGGATTTACTTTATTATTATTGGCAATGGTTCCATCAAAAATAATTCAACTTTTGTATTTGTTGAATTGTCCTATAACGAGTTGGCTGCAGCAAGTTGGCTGTGGCAAGTTGTCCCATTCTGCTAGGAGAGAGAGGACACCATTGTTATCTGTGACATAATGATATTTCAGGGGCCGCAACAAAGAAGACACACTTCCTAAGTCCCACAACATGACAGTGTTTAACAGAAAGGACTTGGAGTACACCCACTCTGTTGGAATATAGTGGGTGGGAAGAAATGATTGGAGACAAGGTGTGTCTCATAGGTCCTACGCCATGCAGGGCATTAGAAGTAATAACCAGCACCTTGCATTGCTCTCAGAAAGCAGATTGGCAGCTTGGGTAGCAGCAGCACACTGACCTTAACCTTGTTACTACTTACCCTGGTGAATTTTGAACCAGCTGTAGTTTTCTGGTTGTCTTCAAGGGCATGTAGAGCACATTGAAATTATCCAATTATGAGGTGACCAGGGCATGAGTAACTGGAAGGCCTCCCAATTGTGGAAAGGCTGCAACGGATGCACAAGATGAACCTCTGCAAAGGCCCTCCTGGCCACAACTGCCATTTGCTCTTTGAGCAGTAGCTGCAAGTCCAGAAAGACCCAAGTTGTGTATTAGTCTAGAACAGGGATAGGGAACCTTGGCTCTTTTATGACTTGTGGACTTCAATACCCAGAATTCCTGAACCAGCCATCCTGACTCAGGAATTCTGGGAGTTGAAGTCCACAAGTCATAAAAGAACCGAGATTCCCTACTCCTGGACTAGAAGTTCAGCCCCATCGAAGACCAAGGATGGTAATATTTCCAACTTTAGGAATCCAAACAGCTACAGCACTCAGTCTTGTTCAAAATCAGCTGAAGTCTGTTCTGTCCCATCCAGACCTCCGAACATGTCAATACAGTGACAGCTTCACCTCTGCCATTCGTGACTGAAATGCAAAGCTGTGTATCATCAGAATGATAGGGTGTTGATAGGGCACCCCAAACTGTCTGATGGCTTTAGCCTTGGTTTCAAGTAGATGTCGAACAGAAGAGATGAGAGTGTTGAGTCATGTAAGGGGGCATGAATGGGATCATTTCCCCTATCAACACCAATTAGAAATGATTCCTGAGGAAAGAGGTGAACCACTGGAGTTGAAATACACACATCTTAAAGTGATTGATATTGAGATGTATAGCTTTAGATTATGGATTGTTATTTTAAAATTATCTGTGTTACTATTATTATTTAGAGGAGGGCTGCCTTTCAGTCACTGACTGTATGAGTCCCTGCAATCACTGCAGAGTTTTTTGACAAGATTTCAGAAGTGGTTTGACATTGCTAACTCCCAAAGTTGAGAGAGAGTATAGAGTTTCCTGCTTGAGCAGGTGTTGGACTAGAAGTTTCCTTCCAACTCTGTTATTCTGTTATTCTGTGTTATCCAACTGGCCTTGTTCCTAAACAAACTGGCTTTGCTTTTGTTATACCTGCCTATTAGTTTTATAAAATATTTAAACTTATGCTTTAAAATTTGTCAGTTTGAAATTAATGCATTAAAATGTTCATATGGTTCTATAATTTGCTGTGATTCAAAAGTAAACTTGCTCATCTGGAGTATCTAAAATGAGAATGGCAGACTGGCTTCTGAACATGATTTATCTGAAAAGAGTTGGAGGCATGCTTTATTATGTATTTTGCTCAGATGCTGCCTTTCCTTTCAAAAGATCCAGGAGATATACAATACAAATGAAGTACTACCATACCAGAATTAAAACACACAAAAAAATATCATTTCAAAAATAGTAGCCCTGTAACCAGGGCTTTTTTTTGTCATAGAACGCCCAGAACAGAGTTCTGGCACCTTTTTTGGATGGAACCTTGTAGAGTAGGCAAGGCGGGTTGTATGACGTGTGTGAGTTCCGGCACCTTTTTTTTTCTTCAAAAAAAGCACTGCCTGTAGCCAGATTGCACTTCTAAAGATTGTGAAAAAATATGATTTTCCTATATACTTCTTCCAAAATCCATAGTTGGAATGCTGCCTTTAATAAAGTTCAGCTTCAAGCTGTCACACCATAGGACCAAATGGCAAGATCTCCTCAGTTAATCTTAAAATATAAATTGAGAGATATCTATTTATCTATTTCATTTTGAAATTATGATACATTCAATATTCTGAATTGGGCCTGGCTAGTGAATAATTCTATCAGTGATGTTAAATTAATAACCTATTCCTGCATGTGTTAAGGTGTTAGTTACCACCTTTAAAGCGCTTCATGGCATAGGACCCGGTTATCTCCGAGACCGCCTTCTGCCGCAGATCCCCTCCCTCAGACCGGTACGCTCCCACAGAGTGGGCCTCCTCAGGGTGCCGTCGGCCAAGCAATGTCGGCTGGCGACCCCCAGGGGGAGGGCCTTCTCTGTGGGTGCCCCTACCCTCTGNTTATTATTATTATTATTATTATTATGTGAGTTATCTGATCCTACAACTGCTATCTTGCATTGTGTGAATGAATTGTTTATGGGCAAAATTTAGAAATTTGTGTGCCTTATGACAACTCTTCCTTGCAGGAAACCACCTAAGACATGTCAAATGAATGGTACGAGCATAAGGAGTTGTAAGTTGATTCTTGAGGTAAGCAATCCTTTTACAAAATCCTGGCTAACAGCTTTTTATAACAGCTGTTCTCAGTATATGATGCTGAAAAAAACAGTATTTGATGAAGCACATTTAAAGCTACAAATTGATTAATCAATTAATCTTCCAACACCAAAAAATTATTTGACTTAATATTTCTGTATATTAAAATTGTCTCATTTCAAGATATAGGGCTGAAATCTCTGTTTCAATAATAATTTGACTTGTTTACTGATGTTGGTATGTGAAGACTCAGGTATTATATATATATCACTCTAAATTCTTCTCAATATTGCTTTGATCCACTCCCTTTCCTTTGGTCAAAAGGAAAAAAGAATATGTCAACTATCACCAAAGCCACCAGACTTTTAAGCATATATATAGTATATCAGTTAAATTTAACAGTTGTGGGATGATTTTATTTACTTATTTCAATAGAAATTGAATTCAAACCTAATATCCCAATTCATAAATTAAGAATAATGTTTAAATGTACAATTAAATATGCAAACACCGTCTCTCCATCAGTAAAAAACAATTATTAACACATTTCCACATTTCTCATTAGAGAAAAAAATGAATAGAAAGTTGCTCAATAGTAGTAACTGTGAGAGGGACCTCAGAGTCCTAGTGGACAATCACTTAAATATGAGCCAGCAGTGTGCTAGGCCAATACAGTGCTAGGCTGCATTAAGGCCAACACAGTGCTAGGCTGCATTAACAGAGGGATAGAATCAAGATCATGTGAAGTGTTAATATCACTTTACAATGCCTTGGTAAGGCCACACTTGGAATACTGCATCCCGTTTTGGTCACCGCGATGTAAAAAAGATGTTGAGACTCTAGAAAGAGTACAGAGAATAGCAACAAAGATGATTAGGGGATTGGAGGCTAAAGCATATAAGGAACAGCTCCTGGAATTGGGTATGTCTAGTTTAATGAAGAGAAAGACAAGGAGGGACATGATAGCAGTGTTCCAATATCTCAGGGGCTACCACAAAGAAGAGGGAGTCAAGCTATTCTCCAAATCGCTTGAAGGCAGGACAAGAAGCAATGGATGGAAACTGATCAAGGAGAGAAGCAACCTAGAACTAAGGAGAAACTTCCTGACAGTTAGAACAATTAACCAGTGGAACAACCTGCTTCCAGAAGCGGTGAATGCTCCAACACTGGAAGTTTTTAAGAAGAGACTGGACAGCCATTTGTCCAAAATGGTATAGGGTTTCCTGCCTGAGCAGGGGGTTGGACTCGATGACCTCCAAGGTCCCTTCCAACTTTATTATTATTATTATTATTATTATTATTATTATTATTATTATTATTATTATTATTATTATTATTATNTACTACTACTACTATTACTATTATTATTATTAAAATATGACACAAAATATCATCAGAATCAAGAGTTGTAAAATTTGTCTTCACAATCTTTTTAGAAAAAGGAATTAAAATACAGTTTCAGGGAAAGGAAATTCATTCAGAACCAAGATGCCATTACAAAGAAGGTCCTTTCTCTCTTATGAATGCCAGCCTAATTTCAGATTAGGAATGAGGGATGGAACTGAGATACAGGCTAGCATATTTTCATAACTGAGAAGAAAGTCTCATCTCTGAATCCACATCCTCTTCTATTGATTATCTCAATTTAGATATCTATATTTGCCTGGATACTCTGGAATAATTGAACAGATAGACACAATTTTAAGCTTCCTCTATACAAAATATTTAGGACTTTAAAAGAAATTGGTTACGTTTACATCCCAAATAAACCAGAAACTAGTAAAGACCGAGCCTCATTAAATTAATATGCTAAAAAAAATAGGGGTCACCTGATTTTCAACAGAAGTCTGGATCATATTCTGAACCAATTACAGCTTTCAAACCTTCTTCAAAAAGTCCATGTAGAATAGATTACTGTAAGTCTACATAGAAAAACCAAAATTTATAGTAACAATGTCAAAATCATGGCTTTCCCCCCAAAAATTCAATCCAGTTCTAGGGACATTAATTAAAATTATTTAAAGACACTTTTTGAAATTGTGAAGTATGTATCAAGATACACAACACAGAGAGAAATGCATCCCTTTATGGGTCTATTGTGGAGGTGACCAGCTATAGTATTACAGTATGTTTGTGTGAATGTTTCCTTGCAAATTATGTAACTGAACAGTAAATCTCCAATTCTAATTTAGTAGCATTTAGTACATTTAGTAGCCATACTTATCATGAGTTTATGGAACATCATCTGATATACTTTCGTTTTATGTACTGTTCTTTGCAACAACATCTGGAATAGTATAAGTGGTTCTGTTCTTAATTAACAGTGCTATATTTGTTTTTAGGATTACAGCTTGGCTATTATAGACCCTCTTTTCTTGGTTGTGTCTTGCAACATTGGGAAGAAATGGACAGAAGTTCATAGTCAGACAATAGAACCATTTAAAAACAGTAAGTTGAAAATATCTGGTTTGAGATATTTGATACTGTGCCCTAGTTCACAAGATTGTATGATGTATTTTCCTGTTGTCTATTCCTATGATTCCATGTGCTATCTTCTATGTAGCCAAAATAGCACTATGCAATGGAAAACAGATTCAGCCCAGAGAAAAAGTGTAACAGTCATTATAACATGTGGGCATTAGCTATCAATGGGAGATATTCAACCAATTAAATATAGTGCTTGCTAAATCAGTAATGGAAACTCAAGGATAATGATAGTTTTGGACTAAAATAATGAATGATGTGAAGAAGAAAAAAAAGCAGTAGCAACAATCACAACACAAGTAGGTCATAATTCGATACTATAATGAATGCTTGCAGCTTAAAGTGATCCAGTTCTAGTTCAGGGATTGTTCTGTTCTACATTCTTCCAATTATTTGATATATAAATTTGACTCTGGTTTGTTCCCCAACAAGTATGATTGTATGAAGCATCCCAAGGGGTGTTTCTCAAAGCAACTGAAACAGTCATCCAAACCCATAGCTCAAAATGCTCAAAACATATCAAGAATCTTCCTGTGTCATCTGTATGTATACATGTAAAATATTTGTGCCAGGATTGCTGATGAGATGAAATAATGAGGACTGTAAATTTTATGCCAAATCATATTAGACTCACCATAACTATTGTAGTCTCCCATGTTCTGGAAAGGCCTTGAGACCATCACTTTTTTTTCACAAAGGAACACCAGTTATATAGATATTATATAATCTTCCAATTCTGAAGTCCTTCAGATATATTGTACTTACAGCTCCTTCAAATCCCCAACATGGTTAAAAGCCATGTGAGTGGAACTGTGAGAGTTATAATTGCAACATAACTAGAGGGTGCCAAGCTAGGAAAGTTGCACTTTATCAAGGGAAATACTTGATACACTCATAGTTAGATCAAAGCCATCTTGGTAACTGTCCAAATTTCAGTAAAACTTGCCAAATGTATTTTTTCCTCTAATATGAGATAAATTTGTTTTTAATTGACCTGGCATCAAGATAATAGTGTAGGGATTGCACAATCCATATCGCTTCTCATATTACTAAGACCAGGAACAAGTTCAATCTTATCTCCCAACTTCTAATTTCATACTATATCATCTCCCACTGTCCTTATCTTTGAGATCTATTCATCATATTGACCATAAATGAAATCAGAAGTTTATTTGTTTACTTGTGTCAGAAGCATCACAATTAAAATAAGGCATTCTATACGATATAAATTGAAAATATAAAATAAAGATTAAAATATGTACAAATTAAACAGATCCTGCCCAGAAACTAGCAACATTAATTGTGTTCTGTTGCACCAACACGAGGTCTTCAAGTATACACTGATTGGGACACAAAAGGCAGATATAGAGTTGTGTTGTCTGCCTGTCGCAATAACAAAGAGCAGAAGCCACAAAATAGTCCCATTTGTTCAGAGTGTCCCTGGATCTTGTGCACAGTCTATTCAACAATTTCCATACTTCCCAGCTTTTGTCAGATCCAGGGGCCAGCTCCTCCATTGTTTCCATCCAGTGTTGGTTCTTTGTAGCTTTCCATAGTCCACTCTACTTTCAAATTCTTCAAAGTCTTCCACTTACCTAAGGAAGCTTTTCCTAGGTCCTAATCTCTGATTGCTGGTTGTAGGCCATAGAAAGGTTGTTGTCTAGATAGTGATGATTTGAGTTTCTTTCTGTATGCTGCTGCTTCTCTGCATACAGCAGGCAGGGCAATGCCAGCTAGGTGGTAGATCTTATCTAGAGAGATAGGTTTAAGGCATCCGGTAATAATTATGCTAGCTTCATTCAAAGCAACATCTATTTTCCCAGCATGTGCTGATTTATACCAGGCTGGCCAGGCTAATATCAAGTCTGGGTTCTATCCCCCGGGCTTCTTTCCACTATTGAAGCTGATAATTTGTTGTCATGCAAAAGAGCCAAGTTATTCAAATCTGCCCACTGTATCACAGCCTCCCCATTTCTGTCATCATCGGGTTACCCCCAGATGCTGCTTTGACAATTAAATTCTCCAGTGACAAAACTTATTTTATACTTAATAAATAATAAATACTTATTAAATTCATCACCTTTGATCTCAGTTAGTGGTGGTTTATACACTGAAGTGACCATATAGTTACAGTTATTCTTTCCATGTTATTTATTTCTGATACTGATGGCTTCACAAAATCTGCACTGCCATACTGTCAGTGGGGCCTCTCTGCTACAAGCCACATGCTCTGCATTTTAGGTCTTCTCTGGTGCTTGTTTCTGTGGATCTCCTGTGTACACAGGACATTTGCAGTATATTTTTGGCACAACTCCTGCAACAGTTCTTCCTTATATATGGACAAATGTTTACTGAAATAATAGTCATCTGTGCACCTGAAAAGATCATTTCTGGGGTGCCCATAGTGTCACAGGTGAGAATGAGCACTTCACCATGTTTTGGAGCCAGCTATAAACCGTTGCCCAGGGGATGCCTGGATGTGTTAGCAGCACTCATTTTTGGGGGAGGCTGTTTTCATGTCCCCCTTTCTTTGGGGAGGCTCCTTTCAATCAGAGGTTTGTTTACCTCAATATCCTATTCCAATATGGCTTTATCTCCAGCAAAATGCTCTATGCTAACCACAATGCTTAAGAGGCCACCTAATCCAAAGTGAGTCTGCCTGTCCTAAGAATATCCAAAGACAATCTGCTCACCATACCATCATGGTGTGAAGTTAGGGGTAGAGGATGCATGGACTGGAAAGCAAGCCTTCTTTTTGGTAGTCCTTATATTCAGGAAACACTACGAACCAAGTAATATGGTTGGCTCCCTCTCTTCTGGCATTTAAGATGTTGTATGCTTAGTTTTTACACAGACTTTTGTTACCCAGTTGTATTGATGGGTCATCACGTATTCTCCCTATATCTGGTTTAATTTATTCATTTAGAACATTTAAATGGTCATTTAATTGAAACAGTATGACTTTGAGTGGCATAAAAGACATTGTTAAACAAAGATACATAGGAAAACAACACCTGTCAGCTGACTAAAGCAATTAAATCACAATCAGAACTAGTATATACTGTATTTCACCAGTTGGGAACTCAATTCCAACCCAAGCACCCACAGATAGAACCAATTCTTTAACTGCTTTTCTAAAAGATTACAAGCTTGAGGTCAACTGTATATTGGGGGATCCATGATTCCAAAGTGCAGGGGCTTGCCACTGTGGGTTTCATAAGTGATAATCAGCATTCTGAGTTGCATCTGGAAACCTATAAAGACTTAGTGCAGCTCATGGAGTAGAGGAGTCACATAAACATAATGAGAAATGTCCATAACAACCCCCGCCATTGCAACTGAACTTCCAGATGGTCTTTCAGTGCAACCTGATGTTGAACACATTGCAATAAGTCAATCAGGAGATGACTAAGATATGAGTGTCTGTGAGAAGGTCCAGGAACAGGTGCAACTGACACATGTGCAACGGTGCCTTGTCTCACACTCTTCAAACAAGAACTGTGAGGCCAAAAGGACTCCAAAATTGTACACTGAATTTGAGTGAGACAGTGAATGCCTACTCAGAATCAAAGTTGAAGTCTCTACAGTTCCAGTGCTCTAGGGCTGAGCTGGAGCCTGTTCTTCCTCATTCAAGCTTCCATTTCATTTATTGCTTTTCTATAGTTTGTATTGTTGTTCCCTGCTGAGAATGATGAGATAGTAGTAGGAAAATGTGATATAAGAATAAATCTTTAGGAAGTAGCAAACACTACATAATTTGACATCTTGAATGGGCAAGGTTCGTCAAAGAAAATTTGCTTCTAAATGCTTCCAGCAACAACAGCTCTAAGCTAGAGAGAAATGGGGGGGTGGATTAAAAAAGAAAGCCCCCTCTTCCTAATTCTCTTACTGCAGCTGTTGTGGCTGGAACTGTAGATGCAATAGCCCCAGAGGAAATCCCTGTCACACACACATGTGCACATAGACATTAAATGTTTCACCAGTTTGATTTCCTTGGGGATAGGCTTCTTTACTCACAAAAATATTTCCCCTGGGACAGTTCCAGCAACAACTGGTGTCAGTTAGAGAAGGGGGTAGCATGAACACATTTCTCCCCATCTCCTTGCAACTTTTGTGACTGTGTCCCCAGCAAGTGGCTACACAGAGGCTCCATACACCACAGGAAGTACCACTTGATTCCTGATTCTGCAGTATTCTTTCAATTCTGTTTCTTAGCTGGATAAAACCTCTTTATCCATCAAAATATTCTACTCCCTATTTGTCTAATGATAATTGTAGTAGATTGGAGGGAAATTAGAATTATTAGGTAGTTAGGACAATTATCTCTCTTTCTGTGGACTGTTTCTTTGTGGCCAGCTATATACAGAAATGGGGGAAGTGGTCAAAAAATAATTATTCTTACTGAAGTTTATGATAGCCACAAGGTTTGAAATATTCAGTATACTATTAAGAATGTTAGTTATCAGTTTCTTTCTTGCTTTCAAAATTAGTTCAACTTCAGCCTCCTTGCAACTTGCAACTTGAAAATGCCAGCAAGCCTTCCTACAATTTAACATGGACACTGTGTGTTGTCTCCCATTATCTAAAAGAAAAACTGGAATATGAAATACGGTATAGAGCAAATTCTTCTGGTGAGGTAAGCAGAAAGATAGTGGAAGGCAACAACTTGATAGCACTGATTTTTTTTTTTAGTCTGCAATTCTGCTTTAGACAGACAATAAGATAAGCAATATGGTGTAGGAAAACAAAACCACACAGTACAAGTACAAAGGCATGGAAGAAATATCACCTATTCTTGAAACTTGATAACAATTGGCTGCAGCCTAAATCTTTGGCTTAGTTCAAATACCAGTCTAAGCCATTGTATCACAGTTGGCTAGGTTCATATATGTTAAACCAAACTAAACATAACCCAGATACTGTGATTTATAAATCAAGGTTTAGGTTTACTAAGTTGTCAAATTCTAATTAATTGTAACTTAATTGTCAAGCTGAGTTTGCTAAACCCAAGGTAATGGCTTCATACAATGTACAAGCCGAAGTATTGATTGTGCTCAGCCATCATCATTACATTTGACAACTGCTCAAAACTGGGAAAAATTAAAAGCTGACATGTTTGCCCAGCCTGAATTGATACAAGAGAGATCCATTTTGAAAATGTCACCAGTGGCATCCATCGGAGTGAAGGAAGGTATCAGTTGACACACTCATAAAGGGGTCAAGGCTTCAGTCGTTCTGTTTCAACTACCTTAGGTTTGTTTTTTTCATCCTCCTGCACCCCCAAATTCCACTGATCCCCACTTATACTTTGAAGCCTTCAGGGTGATTTAGCTTATCTTAACTTGCAAAGTTGCTAGGAAGATGAAATGGGGAATGGGGAGAACTCTGAATAAAACCTTGGTCCTCCTTGGAGGAAGGACCTTTAAGTAGTAAAAATGAAACATTCTTCCAATTTTAATATAGATAAGATGCATCTTTAGTTGTTGCAAATTTTAAAAACAGAAATGGGGCATTATTTATATAATATTAGTCTGTGAAGTTTCTTGTATTTGTGGAGATCAATCCATAAATTCAGAAAGAACTGAATTCTCTAACTGAGCACTGTTGAAATGTGTTACATTCCTATAATACCCAGCTTGGGTGTGAACTATAGCCTATGGAGAAGATAAGACTGTCTGGAAGCCACTGTAGGTTGGGCAATCTTCTTGTATCAATAGTTGCACTGTATATATGTGTTTGTGTGCTTGTATATTTTCCAGTCACTGAAATCTATAGCTACTACTGCAGTAATATCATTAGAGTGGCCAAAGCTGGAATATTTAAAGATGGGGGGGACGATATATTTTAAGGATGGAAGCCTTAAGACCTATTTTGCTCCATAACTATAGGGCAAGGCTTTTCAACCAGTGGTACGGGTACCACCTGTGGTACATTGGCACCTGGAAGGTGGTATGCGACCATCCTAGAAAAGTGGTAGCAGGGGAGGGGAATGAGCTGAACCGGTGGCAGCACCGCACAAGCCTGAGTAAGAGATGGCTGGAGCTGCAGGGCTGTCAGGGCTCAGCGGAAGCGCCAGGATCAGTGCCGCTTTCCAGCTGATCGGCGCTTCTTCGGGGCTGTCAGGGCTCAGTGGAAGCGCCAGGATCCAGCTGGAGCTCGGCGCTGATCCTGGTGCTTCTGCTGAGCCCAGAAGAAGCGCTGATCAGCTGGAATGTTGCAGCCTCTCCAGGGTCTTTTGATTTACATTCAGATGCTTGGCAACTGATTCATATTTATGACGATCACAGTGCCCGAGGGTCATGTGAAGGGACCAAAACCTGCTGCAACCACCCAGCAGACAGGGGGGGAATAAAAACCAAACACCCCCCACCCCACCCCCGCTGCCAATCCTCAACAGAAATGCTCACAACAATGAAAACCTCGGACAGGAGGAAGAGCACGGCCGGGTAGGCAGGCAGGCGCCTTGCTCGGCTGAGGCTTGGGGGGCACTTTTTTAGTGCCACTGTAATTTCGAACAGTCACTAAGCGAACTGTTGTAAGTCGAGGACTACCTGTACATCACTTTTTTCCTTTTTTTTGATCATCAAGTTTTTGACACTTTGCTAGGCGACTGGTGGTACTCGGATATTGCCATATCCTAAAAGTGGTACAATGGGTGAAAAGGTTGAAAAGCCCTGCTATAGGGCTATGAATTCTCCATCCTATTTTGGTGGCAAATATGCAAAAGTTATATATACTACAACTACACCCAACTCAAATGTCATTACTTTTGATTCCATTTTGCAGACTGAAACAATCCTGCCCATAGCTCAGGATCAGAAATGGGTAATAATTGAGAACCTTTCTCCTGGCACAGTGTTTGAGGCAGCCATTCGTGTCAAAATAAAACAGATCAGCTATTACAACAGTATATGGAGCAGATGGAGCACACCTCCTTTAAGATGGAGGACAGATCCTGAAGGTAAGGTGCATAATAGAAGGCTTGGGTCATCTCTAGAGAACATGTTGAGATAATAAATTCCAAGAACATAAGTAGAAAACTCAAGAATGATGTTTAACAATAATATTTGACCTTAAAAATTTTTAAATAGGAAATCTGGTGATACACATATGAGTTAGGATGTGGGAGGAAGTTTCAGGCAAACAAACAAATCAACAATTTAATGTGCAGCATTTTGAATGGGCATATTCCAACACACATGCATCTCACATGTGCAAAATTAGGGACAATTTCTTGTCTGACTACTTTTGCATGAGTTTACTCAAAAGCCTATTTCAAATAATATTTTTCTTAAAATATTGCATTTATACACTTGAGATTTTTAGTTTGTGCTCACAATCCTTTTTTCATTAGGAATGAACACACTTCAGAAATGTATTTATTATAATATTTATATAGTGCCATCTTCCATATGATTCCAGGTGGTTTATAATCCAAACATATCCTATAAAACAAAGCAGTGAACATTATTTTAAAGAAACGTGTCTAAAAATACTTCCATTAAACAAAACAAACTAAAATTAAATTCTGAATTAGGAAATGTTTCTGACTGGATCACACAAGCACAGCACTCTCTACTGTTAATTAAAACAGCCATTTTTTTTCCAGGATTCAGCCTGAGCTGTAAAAAAGAGTAGCTGAGCCCATTGATAGAAGTTAATGTGCCTCTTTTAAATTTTTACTTTCAAAGGCTGCTAAATGTCAGATGTGTGAAAGATTGGATTTGGATTCAAGTCTTTTGCTTCCAGATGCAAAAGTTCTCATGAGGAATTTTTAATCAGTATACTTTTTCAGGATGTTAATTATTATTTGGGACTACATGATACATCTGGAATTTATAAGACTAAGTGTGATATAATGGTTATGTGTTGGTTTAGGATTGAACTAGGACAAACACAAGTTCGAATCTTTAGACATGGAAAGTCTGACAATTTTGAGTCAGTGTCTATCTCTTAGTTCAACCAATCCCATAGAACTGTTGATATGGATAAAAATTAAAAGGGGACCTATATGCTATTGCCACTTGATTCCTAAAGGGAAACTGGAATATAAATCTAATGAATAAATACTAGCTTCTATACGGATTCTATTTTTTCACACAATAGTTGCTATTTTTACCTAAAAGCTAGTACAACCAAGGATGTCAACAGGGGAGATAAAAAAGTAAGGCTGGTAGCAACTGTGGCAAATGTAACAGTAGAACCTTAATCATCCAGTTCTGGGGCCATCTTGACTTTTCTGGTTTCCTATTTCCCTTGGGTGCCTCTGGATACAGATGGAGTAGGAATTGCAAATCAGTTCTTTGACTCCAGAATGCTGTGCTCCAACACTTATGTTAGATACAAACTGAGAGTACTCAAACACAAGTAACTAAAAGGCAAGACCAGAATAATTACAAAATAATTACAAAAGCAGTACAAAAAATTATCTTCCTCTTATTCATTAAACAAAATCTTAAGTCTACAGTGTTGTATTGTATGAGCCCATATTGCTTTACATATGGAGTCTTCTTCTATATTCAGATAAGACCTAGTTATCTTCAATGAATAGCTAATTTCTACTTTTTGTTTCTGGTTAATTTTGGAGCATCACCACAAACTACATTCCTTCCAGTTATTGTAGCCATTGCCGGGAGTTTCATCATTTCCATCTTCGTCATTTTCTTGATTGTATCTCCAGCATCAAAATGGTAAAAGTGAGCTGAAAACTTACTTCTGTCCTCTTGCTATTTTTATTAAAAGCATTATCTCCTGGACCACTAATGCAGGTTTCTACTTTGGCAAAATTTCAAATTGATAAGATGTATTTATACATAAATTAAGGGGTCCATTTAAACACAGAAAGTTTACTTATTTTTGAAAATGTATATACTGTCAGGGGTGCTTGGTCATTCTTTTATTTGATATCAAAAATGCCCTGCATGCTCAGCATACACTTTCTCTTATATTTACAGCAGCATGGGGATTTCCTCAGAGACTATTCTCTGTAACACTTTCTTGATTGACAATATGATCGCGTTAGTTTGTGTTGTGACTATGTGAATATTTCAGAAAGCACTACACAGAAGAATCCACTTTTGAAGAGACCTAAAAGATTTTAGGGAAAAACAAATGTAAACAAGAACTGTAAACAGGATCTATGATGAGACAACCAGAATGACTAGATAGAAAAGGAATATTATATTGATGTGATTATTATCTGAAGAAATATTAGAAAACTTTTATACTCAATTGTCATTCATTAAAACAACAAGAATTGTATTAACTTAAGGTTGGTAAAAGAGAACATTATGGGAAAAAGAGGAAATCAAGTAAAGTTATTACCGGTATGTGGATTATAGATTATGAAAATCAACTGTTAGTGAATGTTTCTTAAATGTAAACCCAGACAACACACTGTTTACCGAACATTAAGCTAATTATGTTATAGTTCAGAGGCAGGTGTGTTGCCTCTCTGTCTTGCTCAATAAAATTGGATGGAAAAAAAAGATTTTAAACTTTGTTCAATTGTCCATAGATTTGTTATGTACAGCAGGCTGGCTGGGGAATTCTGGGAGTTGAAGTCCACAGGTCTTAAAGTTGCCAAGGTTGGGGACCCCTGATGTAGAGTTAATTATATGAAAATCCAGATTAATTACTACAATTGACATTCTAAAGCAGTTGATATGGTCCCGATGTGGAAGCTGTAGTCCAAAGCAAATGGAGTGAATCGAACAGGGGACAGCTCCATTAAGGAATAGAAAATGTGGTCTCTATCATCATATCTGTTCAATTTCATGAAATCACATGACTTAAATATTTTTTGCTATGTGAAACAGAAGAAAGTTCTGGCAACATATGGAATAAATAAGATCAAAGAATGAGTGTAAAGATGAGTGATCATTACCTATAGTATGTGCCAACCTTTATTTGATCCCCTTCATATATTTTGGAGCCCAGATCATAGCCCTAGTCAGCATACTTAGGAAATTGTAGCTTAGCACATCTAAAGAACCATATTAGCAAATATGGTCATATGTAGTTGTTTTTTAAAATAATGAATATTGGGAAAATTTAGATGTTTATGTTCCCTTCACTTTTTTGTGACAAAATAAGTGCTACAACATTTTTCCTTTGTTATGCTTGATTACACCATTTAATTCTGAATACAGTTTGCATTTAACTTTTTCTAATGAAAATACAAGTTACTTTTCTGAAGTTCTGAAATCCTAGAATGCAGGATCTGTCATTTCTCATTATTGTGAATTTGTAAAAGGAAAAGATGGTGTTCCATTAGAAATCAGATAGCTCCAATTCTATATTGCCTTCCTCCGTGATAACAACTATCAGGAAATATGGGCAGCCTCAGTCTAGAAACCAGAACAACATTGTAAATATATTTGAGAAACCCATACTACAGTTTGCTGCTATGTAACAGGATAACCACAAAAATACTGACACCCAACCTCTAAAGCATTCTGAAAATGATGCAAAAATAGAGAAAAGATTTTGACACATTGTTTTGATCCAAATCTGCTGTTTCCATGCTTGCTTATGACTGTTCGCCAAACTCTTACTTACAGTACTTTTCATTTTCTTCCAAAATATGCTTGCTTTAGCTTTAGAAAGATGCTTAAGATCAATTTGCCAGATCCAGCTGAGTTCTTTCCATCTCTCACTGATATCCATGGAGGAGATATCCAGGTATGAGGGGGGGGGGCTTAGAAATTGATGGATATGTAGCTTAGAACATGACTGCTATCTGGAAAAGAGAAACTGGGTAGAGTTAACCTGATGCATGCTTCTCACTACACATAGAGTAATATCTAGGATGCAGTATTAAATAATTAAGCTAAGATGAAACTTAGAAATACTGTTGTTAATAATTAATATTTATTACTACCAAATAAATGGAGAATCAACATAATTACGGTAGGTCTTTAAATAATTGCACAAAAATTATTAGAACAGTGATCAGTTCTAATCACTGATTCTTGGTGAAATCAGTATAGCCCTAATTTAATCTGTTTGTTGTTTACTAACTGAATGTTGATATTTGTTTAGCAGTAGGCAATTGTTTAGTTTTACCAACATTACTGATTGTATTAAAATTGTATATATACTTAGCAAGAAAAAAGGCTAAATAAATATTTACCCACATTGTGTGCATTCTTGTATCCAGTAGCATGTGCTACTTTATCAATAGTTTTGAATTAATTGTACAATTTTGAAAAATCCAAATTTCTACATATTTTGGGCTTCTCCAAACTGTTGGGAAACTTTGAAATGGGTTGTATATAATTCTCATATATCCCTTTCTTTTTATTGGGTGTATGTATTTAGATCAAAATACATCTTCAATATCAACCTACCATATTAGCAAATTAGCAATGCAATTAATAAATTCAGGAGGAAGAGCTTTCTCTACCCCTTCTTTCGCCCCCCTTGTCATATATACACATGTTTTAATTTTAAATGTAGTTTCTAGGTCTAAATAGTACAGAATCAAAACATTCTGCAGGAACACTTTACTTAGAGCCTTAGTGACAATTAAAGTTGCACTTATGTCACTATTACTAGCATAATAAGAATCTGTAATAGATGACAAAGGTCAACTGTCTGATAAAATCAAATCAACCAAAATGATATATAATATTCAAAACTTCACTTTCAAAATTTAGGTCAAACCACATGTTTGGCTGAAAAAATATAAACTAAACTGGGAAGCAGATGCTGTTGTTTTAGTTTTTAATCAGAGTAATAGAAAATGTTTAACCTTTGCGTTTCTCTTCTGAAACAAAACTTCTAGGTAACAGAAATCCTAGAATGAAAATTGCCTTCCCTCCTTGCCAACAACATTATTTAAATAATATTTAGCACTTAGATGAAGAATAAGGCAAAGGCCACCATCACGACTTCTATAAAGGTAGCCTAAGGTAGCTTTTAGAACGCGTAGACATAATATATTATAGGTGATTTTTATGTCATCATTATGTATCTGCATCACAAATAGTTTTTATTTTTCTAAACAGATTTGAAGTTAATTTCACAATGTGTTCTTTCGCATATACACAAAATGAAAGGGTAATGGGGGTACATTAAGATATCTACCCATATTTGCAGAATAAATGTGAGCAAGCTAAATAAAAGCTGTTCTGCACATTTATTGAAAAAAATGCAAAACCTGGTCAATTCTGTGTTAAATGTGCCCAAAATTATCAGGTACCCCCCTTTTTTTTGCAAATCATTTAATTCACACATTTTAGTTTGGTTTAAGATTTAGGAAACTTAAGAGCTCTAGGGACCATCTCATGTATAGATGTCAATGAGAGGAGAGAAGAATAAAGTTAATGTCCTGCTTAGCAGTTACCTCAATGAGAGCCTCTATTCACAGAGAGAGTAAAAATTTTATCTACCTTAGTGTAATAAAGGAAGTGCCATTTGATTTGGGAAAAAGTTATTAAGAATTTCCCATCACTTCTTAGCCTTCTCTGTCAGTCATTAATCGGCTTCCAGAAGATGACTTTTAGAAGTGTCAAAGAGGCTGTAGAGGGGACTTCACTTTTGGAAAAAAGAGATTATGGGAGATGACAAGGCTGAGCCAGAGGGAGGGGTCAAATGAGTCATGAGTCCCTTCAAGAGATCTAAGTCAGCCTACCTTGAATTCTTTTCTATTCTTAACTCCCACACATTTCCCTTAATGGTCACTTATCCAGTTTCTTGTAGCAAACTTAAACTTAAATTTCAAATACAAAGTTGTCTTATTTCAGTCTCCTCCATTCTAGTATCTTCTAGTTATGACCATGCTGGTTGGAGCCAAAATATCTGGGAGACACTAGGCTGGGACAGGTTGCTCTAGGAAATATGGCACATGATGTTATTATCTATGAAATATACCAGACAGAAATGTTATAGGCCAATTGCTTGTGGAAATGGGATAAAAGATCCTGAACATCTATATGTTAAGATATGAAATCTGCACTGCAGCTCATTTTGAATACTAACCCCCTTTCTGTACTTTTCCAACCAGCAGAAGTGGTTGTCCTCCCCAGCATCCATTACTTCCTTCAACATTACAGCTGAAGCCCCCAATGTCTCTATATTAGAGATAATGCAAAATAGCAGCAAGGAGTCCTGCCTTCTCCCTCCTAAGGAATACTTCACAAATATTGAGAACACAGCAGAGACCAGTGGAGAGTCCTCAAGCAGCTGCTTTATGAATCGTGGCTATTTCTTTTTCCATCATCTTGACTCCCTTGAGATTGATTCCTGCAAGGTGTATTTTACCTATGATGCTGTGACTCGTAGTGAAGATAGTGATTTCTATTTCCACAAAGAGCTCCATGAAGCAAGTCACAATTTTCCTTCATCTACCAACATCATGACAAACCAGGAAAATGGTGCCTTTATTCAAGATTATTCAAGAGACATTTTTCCATCAGGAGGGAACTTCCCAATAGCATCAACTATAGAACAGAATGAAAACATGGAAGACAGAATTCCTCTTGTCTTGTCTTCAAACTCCCCTGAGCAGTATTCCATAGATGATTCAAGCAAGCCACAATCATCTAGCCACAATACTGGTGGAATAGAATTACTCAGAAATGAAGACTTATCTAATAATGTTATGAGAAATAATAGGTTCATGTTTTCAAACCAAGACCAGTCCAATGATTTCTGCAGAGCTGCATCCTCCAGCCAGATCCCCAGTTCCTCAGAAGGAACCTATCTGTCCTTGCGGGATTTTCAGAGACATTACAGTCATCATTCTGTCTAATTCCATGATGGGAAGCCTCTTTTGAGAGCAAGACAGTTTCTTTATATATCGTTTATTTGCTCCAGTCAAGAAAGCAGAAATAGATCTCCATTCTTTTGACATGATTTCTAACGGAAGAATGGGTAGAAGATTTCATATTTTATAGGGATATCAATTTCAGAGAAACCTGGCCAGATACGTTTTAGCAGAATGACACAACTCGTCGCAATCAACTCACCATGGGACAACTCACCACAGGACAATTCAACATGGGATAACTCAAGAGAGGGACAAGTAGAATTGCAGCTCATCCCAGTCTCAATGACCTGTAACATGAGAACATTCAAACCTAAACAAGCCCCTCTGCAATTTACTTGTCCCTCTCTTGAATTAGCCCACATTGAACTGTCCTGAAGCAAGTTATCCCATGGCGAATTGGCCTCAGCAAGTTGTCCCACAGTGAGTCAGCTGGAGTGAGTCAGCCAGGGTGAGACAGCTGGGCCAAGTCGACTGCAGTGAGTTGGCCAGGGCAAGTTGTCCTAGACCCAAATTTAAGTGTCTCCAAAGTTTATTTTCTATAAAATGCTTTTGTTATTGTTCTTTGCATAGAATTTCACAACCCAAAATCTCACATCACTAAATTTTGCTCTGAAATTGCCAGATGAAAAATTTACAATTTCAGCCCACAAGAGTTTTAATATAAGTTGCTGCTCCTGGTGTTGATTTTGATCAGTTCTTTTTAAATTTTATTTCCTTTTCATTGATGTGGGAATACAAATAGCCTTTGACTTATAACCACACTGGGGCCAGGATTTCAGTTGATAAGCAAGGGGATGCTGTGATGATTGTAGCTGTGAGGATTGGTTGTAAATCCTTTTTTTCAGTGCTGTTGTATCTTCAAAAGGTCACCAAATGAATGGTTGCAAATTGAGGAGTACCTGCACATTAGGCATCTCCATCAAAAATATATTTTGCAAATCCAGATCCAAATTCTGCTTTTCATGCTTTGGAATCAATTCATGCATTGGGTCTTGGAATCAATTCACGCATTGCAAATCTGCTCATTAGTACCATGGCTAATTACCATGATTTCTGCAAATCTGCTAATTAGTACCATGGCTAATTACCATTATTTCTGCATTCATTGACCATTACATGTGTCTCCTGCAGTGGAGATGGGGTCATTTAATGCAGATGTTACATGGAGAAGTGGAATGTAGAAGTGGACAATGCTGTAAATGTTTACAGTATTTAGAAGTAAGAAGGCAGACACTGCTTTTTGTCCTAGACTGCCATATGTAATCTCAAGCTAGCAAAACCTGCTATATGCTCAATCAGACAGAAAATAATCCAAAGAGCAAGTAGGAAGGCAGATTCTTGTTAGTTTGTGGCCTCAGCTCAAGGTTCATTTTCAACATCCTACAAATATCAAAGCCTGATTATTTCAGGAAGAACTTTTCTTATCTTGGGAATTAGACTATTCATGAGCCATGTAGCTTCCAGCCATTTCCCCCCCCACACACTTTTTTGGCCCACTAGAATCCTTAAAACATCTCTTTGAATGTTGATGGCAAATAGTCAAACTTCAGCTACATTATTTTTCATCTTTCTTTAGTGAAACCCGTGATGTTGACAGATACTTCCCAAAACCCCAAACTAAAAAATGTCATCCTTGGGTGGGTTTTTTTTTTATATACTATCATATTACCACCATGGCCCCTGCACTCTATAAAGGTTGAACAATGTAAAATGTGGCCTGTTTTTCTGCTGAAAAAGTGGCAGAATGGATAAAAATTGCTGTCTTATAAGAAATTGCAGTAGGGTTCTGCCCAGTGACATTCAAGTCAGTCTGAAAAACTGAAATCAGCATCTAACTGAAACAAAGTGGGTTTTTTTTTTAAAGTATTGTGGTTATTCTTCAAAGGTGCTTTGCTCTGCTCTATTACATTCCTCTCCAATGTCTTGTATGCAAGTACTAGAGGAGTAACTAGAAGATAATTTGCTGTTTTCATTGCTCCTTGCTCTGAATTTGAGCACTTCCCTATCACCATTGCTTCCACTCCCCAATCCCTGAAAAGGGTTTGAAGACATTCAGCAATTATTTCCAAATTTGCTGACTTTGTAATGCTGACCAAGGGTCATGCTGCTCTGTTCTGAGTTGTCACAGTCCCTGTGGCAACAAAAGCAAACAGAAAACCCTCAGTGTTCCATGAAGGGACATCCAGTAAAAAGCCATCAAGTCACCTTTCTCTTTAAAAGCCTTCTCCTGCAGTCCAGAAACCAATAGGCAGGAAAAGGCAGAAGACTCGGCAAAGGAGGAAAGAAACCAGCCATAAACTGCAGAGAGCTGCACCCTCTCAAAACAGAAAGGAGCTTCACGATGCTTTCGGATACATTGGCCCAGCTGGCAAGACAGAGCACTATAGGGTCACAAGGCTGCATGTGGAGGTGTCCTTTTGTCAAACTGCTTTATACTGTTTCATACAATAAGCTGCTTTATTGTCTGTGGACTCCCTTAGGAGCAGCATCTTGACTTGAGTCCAAATATAAGCTCATTTTTTTCCCCCTGGGTTTTGATATATTTTGCTGAAACTTAATAAAGATTTTATTTTTTAAAAAGAAAGTTCATGGAAAGTTTACCATTTACTCCATTTTCTCCTGAGCTGAGATCCATAAGAGTGTTTGGGGCACAACCTGTGTTTATATTTATTCCACATTAACTTTCATTTTATTGTACCAAAAAATATCCATGCCATCTGAACCTAATATTGTGACCTTCTAGCTCTAGAAGTCCTGTTTCTCAGCAACATCCATTCTTTCATCCGGGACCCAAACAAGAAGCAGCAAAATACAATTTCAAATTTCCTTTTTTCTTTGTATGTTTTAACACTTTATATTTAACTGGTGGTTTTTTCCATTGCTTTATAAATTTAGATCTATCTTTTTGCCATTGTTTAAGTGGTACATCAGTTATCAAAACAGGTATTGTCTGAAACAAAAAGGTGATTCTTGTCAAAATATTCATTTTTATCACAAATATTCTCTCCAACAGATTGTTTTAATTTCTTCCATCTTAATATTTCATTCTTAATTTCATTCCATCGCTAACCATAATTATTTTGAAATATCATACAATTCATATTTGTCATAGTAATGCCCAGGTATTATTTTGGGTGTCTTTCTCATCTTCCCCTCTTGCAAGAGACAAGTTTTATTTACAGGATGAATCTCTTCTCCAAAATTAAAAGGTGAAATGCAACATTGTAATGAAGTGGGGAAAAAGAGACAAAAATAAGCTAAATTATTTTTTCTGCAGGATTATGTTGATAATGTATTATTACTACTGTTTTGATTATTTTGCATTTCATGCCATTAGCTAACTTGAGTTCTTTAGCATGAGAAAAGTGGGATTTTTAATTATATATTTTCAATATTCATATACAAATTAAGTGTTCTTTTTATTCCTTGTGAAGTGAATAGAGGAAAATGTTTCAAGGTTTTTTTAAAAAAAGTATTTGAAATTGGAATATTGAACAAATAATCTCTTTGTTTGATCAGACAAATGATCCAACTTTCATTTGATTAACAATAATTCTTGTGGAGCAACATCACCCAGTTCCCATGTGAGAAATCTAATAATTATCTTCATTGTATCCCTTGTTTGAAGAAAACATCAGGTCATTAGTTAGGAAGATGGGTGGATCAGCTCATTTAAACAGAGAGATCTGCACCTGTGCCTAAAACCAAAACCAATTTCAAATACATGTTCAGTCAACATTTCTCAGACTTCCTCCATCTTTGAAGCAACAATAGAACTGCCACAGTCATGCAGGCAGTACTTTTAATAATAACAGAATGAAAGAAAATAAATTGTAACACATCATTAGCATACTTTCCACTGTGCCCATTCTTCTAGTTCATGCTGAATCAAGCCCATTTATCTAATCTTCTATTTCCACAGTGCACAATCAGAAGTTTCCAAGGTTTCATGTAGCCCCCCAGAAGACTTGGCTTTGTCTTTAAGAGACTTTGATCTAATTGATATTTTGAATGTGTCTAAAGGGGAAATTATAAATACTAGGCTAGATTATAAGCAAGCTAAGTATAGTTAAATTTAATTTAATGAAAATTGGGGAAAAAAATCAAACAGAATTTTTGTTCTGCCTGCAAATGCTTTGGAGTGGAGTCCACAATACACCACTTAGTGTTTGGTTGATCCAAGATCCTGGTAAACCGAGAGTAAAACTTCTTAATTTAAACTGGAGGAATCTCTCATTAGGATATAGGTAATCAGCAATTCCTGGGGTTTTTTTCTGTAGTGTACAAAAAAGACTACTATGTGGATGAAGGGGGAACTTCTTCCCTTTATCAGATTTTGTCAAACAACAACTTGTTTATGTAGTTTTCCTGCTTTTCTCAGAACAAAGAGTCTATGAAAAAAATGTGGTTAGCATTACAAGCACAATATTAAATTGAAAACTGCTTGCCAACTGCAACAATACAAAGGTTGCGGCATTGAAATGACTTGATATTTCATGGTTTCCTGTTTTCTAATCATGGCAAGCTCTCTTGCTTGATGTAATTATTCTTCCAATTAACATTCACACTCAGTAAACACATTCCCATCTGATGCTTTTTACATAATAAGACTCTAACTATGCAGGCAATTTTAAATTTGCCACATGGTTAGTAGAATGAAAGAAATGCTGTTTATCAATGCACCAATTTTTATAAAGATTTTGTCATACAGAGGTAGAAAACCTGCGGTCCCTTTTCATATCATAATTGCTGAGAATTGATGGTAAAGTTTTCCTCCAATCCAAGTCTTAATGCCAGCTAAATGTAGTTAAATATTCTTTTCTCCTAGACCAAAATTTGGATTTTAGATTACAAATTCGTTTGAGTAAAGAACTTTTATCATATGTGATGTGTGATCTAAAATCCATATTTTGATCTGGGAGAAAAAGAATATTTGACTACATTTATCTGGCATTAAGACTTGGATTGGAGGAAAACTTTACCATCAATTCTCAGAAATTATGATATGAAAAGGG